ACTAGTAATTAACTCTGCGGACATTTCATAGAATTTCGCGCACAGCTTCATAAAAATTCTTATCAAATAACGTTTCTTCGCTCACAATCAGTTATGTTGTTCCTAAATGATGAAAATCCGTAGTTCAACAATTAAATATTTTGCGACATGTTTCTCCGCAGGCAACAAGGAAAATCCGAAACCCGTTTGCACGGGAACGATGCGGTAACGCGTTGATCAGTTATCAGCACCAAATCAACATTTATTATATTACTCATATAAACAGAGCAATTTTCCTAACAAAACAGAAATTGAAACATCAAGATTTTTCACAGAAAGTTGCATTCTTAACATTCTTGTACCTCATAGATCTAACCCTGAATCAAAACCCATTTGTTAAATATGTCACTGAGAAAATTAATTAAAACATTAATTTTGAGTAATTATCTTTTGTACAAGAGTTATATCTCATATATTTAGAAGTATTGACATTTTTTTGCGTTTTCAACGATGCATCAGTTGATTAACAATTTATCGATCGTCTGGCGATGGAATTACTTAACGTCGGGTTAATGAACACATCGTATCATCGGCAGGGTTGATCATGAACCGGCAAGTGGTTCCAGGCCGAGTAACGCGAGTTTATATCGTTAAATCTAATTCTGACGTCATTATGGCTCCGTTCGAGCTTGTATCCGAGTCATCGCGAATCACTCGAGCTCCACCATATTCGAAATTGTTCCGTGCCGGTGCATTCTCGAACTCGCGAATACTACCTGGTTCAACACTTTGAGCGACAAGCTTAAAATTTTGGAAATGGAAAAGTCTGTTAACTTTCTCACTCACTGCATAGAGCAGAAACATAGAAAGTAAAAAGCTTCACGTTTTACAATGATTCCCAGCAGAAGGCTGTACGATTTGTCATTACAAAATTACAGCAGTTGAAAGCTTGGCAATTTTTCAGTTTCAATGTAGCACATTTTGAATTTTATGGACTACTGCATATTCGTTACGTTTAAAAAATGAGATTTCATTATTGTAATCACAGAGAGTAAGTTGAATTTGATTAAAAATGTTATCCGTGTGTCGTACGAATGTGTGTCCGATATAAGATTTTAGAAAATTAATGAACAACAATTCATTATAGTCCAATCATAAGATCTCATCGTGTTCCAAAATGAAGTTTTAAGGAACATCTCATAAATGCCACATTGGAAAGTAAAGCAACAAGTTCTTTTTTTGCCAACCTAATATTTCAAAATGGAGCCGATAGTATTTTCTATATTCCTCGAACAAAGTGTTCGTGATTTTTATTATCTTCGACAGTTTCAAGTGAAATATCGAGCAGAGCCCGGGCAAAGTACTCGTCTTCGCGTAATGACTTTCAGCATTCGTTAAGTAGACGTACTTAACGGTTTCAAATTCGGAACGTTTCCGCAACAATGAGCAACGTCACAAACTACCAACTGTCTTTCGCTCGACTCTACGTGCATTAGCTTTCTTCGAGTAAATAGATGAATGCATTTTGACTTATTTGTCAGTATCCGCTGCGGTGCTGCGTTCATTTCTCAGGGGAATGCTAATGAAACTCATTTGCCTTTCTCGTTCACGTGCGATGTATTTGTTTCACTTCTATTGACTTTTAAAGAACGAAATGAGGCGGTAGGAACACATAGCGAAGAGCCGTGTGTTGGAATAGCAGAGGAACCTAGAACGCGACTCGTGTTTGTCTGTAACGTTCCCCAGCAGACCGACATATTTACCATGGGGCATAATTCTGTACACATAACACAAGATTATCTACAAATAAAACTGTAAATATC